GACTGCGACCCGCATGCTTGCACTATTAGTCGTTATCACACAGAGGTAAGCGTGATATACAGCTGAGGGCGATAAGGTTTCCTTTAGAAGTTCGTATAATTTTCGTTCTTAGTCACAGTCAGATAAATATCCTATGCTGTAACTTAGGTGAAGCTATACTTAATTCAACCCTTATACTGCTACACGAAGAACTGCTATATTCTAAGTTCATTAGCTGCCTCCCAAGCAGCTTGAGGTTTTTGCCTTCGCGAAGGTTCTTTGCATTTTTCGAAAATGGCCTGTTTCATTAGACATTTTCTTCCATTTCATGTAGTTTTGTCAGGCTATTTCCTTGAAACCGTCAACTGCGTACACTTTAGAATAGGTACCCCATGTGAAGTCATAACATGCACAATTCCAGTGCAGTATATGACACTCTTAGCTAAGTACCGTCTACTGAATCTAATATCTTGATGACCTGCATCGTTGTGCGTTGTTATTGAGATCATCATCCTGAGCTGTTTCCATAAACAGAATTTCGCAACTTTGTGATGTCAGCTGTATCCGCATCTTTTCAATGTTTTTGTTATAATGCACCGGTTACTGCATCGCAGAAGGTAAGATTCCTCTCGGAAAGCAGATCTATCTCTACCTTGTTCATCCATGAATGCTTGCCTCCTGATTGACATCTGCCGTATTTCGGCTCCCACAAGAGAAGCTCGCATGAAGGAGCAAATGATGTATGTTCAACCATTTTGTCAAATGATTGCCAACTTCCCTTACTTAATCCATTGCCATTGCCATTTCCCAACATCTGGCGAGTTCACTTGCGCCCGGAAGAAAATGCAGTCATTCCTTACCTGACTCTGTCATTTAACCCTCATTATGCGTCGAAGCCAGCGCTGTTGTACGCAGTTCAGTCGTCGTCGTTCGTTATAACAACTGTTTTCATTTCGTACAACAACACTAACCCGACAGATGCAAGGTGCTGGTGGATTTTCTTAGGAGTAGCAGGAGTAACTTTTTTCTCAGCACAGATGTTTAACAGGTTTTCAAAGCACCCGAGGCCGCTAGGGTGATCCTCCTGTTTAACTCTGGTTCGATTATGTCATTGTTGGAAATTATGGAGCCGAGGACTTAAACTGGGTAAACTCCTGAGCAGTTTTACCTCTCTGTTCGACTTGTAGAACAACGATGCTGGATGGATTTCTCATAACTTTGAACCTCCGGGCGTTGATGTAGATGCCACCTTTCGCAGCTGTTTGCATATGGAAGCGATCCGGTGACAGCCCGCTCTACGTATTACTCACCAGGACAATGTTTCTGTACTCTAGGTCAGTAAGATATTTAATCAGACATCTTGAATTGTGCCTTCTTTCTAAAATGAAACCTCCGACATTGATAATTCTAGCACTGCTTTGTAGAAGAGAGTCGAGAACAGTGTATAATAGCACAGGCAAAGCACATCTTAACGAATTCCGCAGTTGTTACGGAACCGTTCAAATAGTTGTTTCAACTTTGACTGTAGACATGGTTATCGAATGCACCGCTTCGCACGTATCCCACAGCATTTCAAGATTTTCCAAATCGTCGAATGATGTAGTTCATCTAATGCAGCCTTAATGTCGAAGAAACTGGTAAATCAAGACAACTGGAATCGTCG